CTGCCGCCCCCCCGCAGGTACCGAGGCCGGGCGGGCCGGGCGGGGGGTGGGAGCTGCGGGAGCCTTCGAGGGGAGGGGATCGGGGCGTGGGTCTTAAGCGGGTCTTAAGGCTTTGGCTGCGGCTTCGTGTCTCCCTTTTGGTTTCGCTTCGCTGCTCGCCGAAGTCAGGGTTTGCTGCAGCCGCGTTGGTAGTGCCCCACGGCCGCCCGTGAGCGCGGGGGCTAGGCTTCCCTTTCCTAAGGGCTGGTGACGGGCAGCGGAGACTGGGAAAGATGTGGCCCGCTGAAATCTCTCCAAGGGGTGCCTTGGAGCCTGCTAGAAATAGTAGGACTTCAGACCCCAGAGTCCATTGTACAGTTTTCCTATAACATGTGAGTTTGCTGTCTGTTGGGAAAGATCAGGGGCGTACAGATCATTGTATCTTTCTTTCTTGTTAGAGCTGTGGCTCTTAGGGCACCGCCAGAGTCATTCCCATCAATTCGGTGGGAGCAGAGACACCTTTCGTGTCAGTGAACAGGTAGAAAAGGGACACTTTGGGCTAAGCCTACTTACAGATCTCAAAAGTGGTGTGACTGGGCGTGTTGTAAGACTGTAAACAGGGTAAATTACTGCCTCAGCTGAAAATTAGTTGGCTATGCAAATGATGTCTAGAACATCTCCAAACTATTGCTGGAGTGGCCTGACCTGGTGGAACCCTCCTTCTTGTGGCAAGAAATAAGTCATTCAGATGAGCCAGGCTGTATTTAAATGTCCGGAAGGATCATACAGAATCACCTTGTTTTGCTGAAATGGTGTTGTATAATCTCAACTTTTCTGAACATGTATTCACACTGAAGTTGGGACCTGGTGGTTGTAGTACAGGGTATGTAGAAGCAGACTCTGGTTTAGTCTGTATTTGGCTGACTTTGGCCTGACAAACAAAATGAGAGGATGGACCTTTGAACTGACACCATTTTTAGACCTTAGGGAAGTACAGAATGTAACTGCCGGTCAACAGGAATTACTTAATTTTGTTTTTAAGCCAGTGGAGCTGGCAGTGCTGGCTTTAGTAAGGTACTTCCTAAGCTGGGAAGGCATTTATTGCTTATGAAGTAAATCTATTTCCTGATCAGCAGGAAAAGTTGCCTCTTTATCAGTCAAAACTTAACCATGTAGTGAACTATAGAGCCTTTGATTTCCTCAGAATATTTATATTATGTGAAACAAGTTTCTGCTAGAATCTACTGTAGTCTTCTCTTAAAAAAAATTCCATAAACTTTGAAGAACGAGTGGCACACCTTAAAATTTAGAACTATTCCTTCCATCTCCCCAGGTTTCTGACTAACCTACTAAGAAGGTGAAATGGAGATTCATTTTAAGTAATTGTAGGATACCAGAGTTTGTCTTGTAGGCACAGCCTTGAAACAGAGCACTGTGTTTATGGAGATCTTTTTATAGTGGCTTATTAATGCGCTCAAAACACCTGCTTGCAGTTGAAGCTTCTTGGTCACTGAAGGGGTTGTTCTAGGAAAGCTTTCTTGGCAGTCAAGCCTGTTTATCGAAGGCACTCTGTTAAAAGCTTCAAAAACTTACATGTGCTTCTTGTTAACCTGCATGATTCAACAAGGCTTTTCTGGAGCTTCGCACAGGACATCCTCAGAGATTGGATTTGGCAATTAACAAAGGTATTAACAAAGAAGTTCTGAAAGAGCGGTAGGGACAAGGAGCCTGGTCGGGGGGGGGAACAGGAACCAGGGGTAACCAGGAACGTGCAGCTGGGATGAGAGCTGTTCAGAGCACTCTCCTTATAGCCACAGCCCTTCTTGTTTCTTCCCGACGGTCTTTTTAATTTCGCTCCGGGATAGGAACCATGAGTCATTATCTTGCACTGGTAAATATCTGTTTGAAAGGAAAGCACGATGACTTTAACTTCTAGCAGCCATGGCTCAGAGTGAAATCTCAGAGGAGGGAGGCGATGTAAGCATCCTGCATATACTTTCCCCAGCAGCAATAATAATGCCTGGTATGTGTCAGGCGCTTTTCCTCCTTTCCCCTTTATGTACGTGAGTGTCAAACAGACATAGAGGCTAAATTCCCACCTATGAAACACGCCCTGTAGTGCAGTATTCACAGGTGTTACCATGCACCTGTTGTGTGCCCAGCTTGCAGGTATTTGCAGGCAGCGGGGCTGCTGCCGTCAGCCTGGAGCATGGCGTGCTGGTCGCTGTAGTTTCTCTGGGCTGTACCAAGGCATGAAGGGGAGGGCTCTTGCAGTTCATTGCATCATGCTAATAGGGTGCCATCAGCTTAACGCAGATGTGTCCTTCTCCTTGGAGAAGGAAAGTATAAAAACCAGTACAGTGTATAAAGCACAATGCTTAGATGTTGAACTGTTAAGATATTCTTCTCTGCCTCATAACCTGGTGAGGGAGAATAAGGCGTTAGTCAAAAGAGCCACATGTGGCAGTTCCCCTTTAAACATCTGTCTCTGATGTTTCTGGTTATAAAGGCAATAGTATGAAAAGGGATGTTGCAGGAAGAGGGAGACAAATCAAAAGGCCGTGTGGCCAAGATGCTTGTTTTTACCTGTGAACAGCTTATGTGTAAGGCTAAAGCAGTGAGGTATCAGTTTACCTAAGGGATTACTCTGTTGAGGGGGAGTCAGTCATCTGTGGGTTTCTAACCTAGACCAAAGGTTATCTCCTTCTAGTTGTTATTCAGTGTGAAATTAGACCGCGTCTTCCTTGAGCTAAGCACATGCCCGGATACTGGCACTTAACAAGGAGCCACGCTGGTGTTGCAGCTTACAGGACCTGAGAAGTTGAATGAGTTTGGTGGAACTAGGTTTAAAGAATTTCTTTCCTGTTCAGGTCACAGCTAACCTGAGGGAAGCATTTTTGTAAATAAAATGTTTGCTGTAATTCTAGGCCCGTCTTGACTCTTATCAAGAATGATTCTAAAGGTGAACACTGTCCTAAGCCTTAGCAGATCTTGGGTAATCACCAGAGGCCTCCTGCAAAAATGAGGAGATGGTGGTCGTCAGATGACAGCCCTTAGACGTGTCAGGAGCTGAGTTCCAAGGTCCCAGTTTCCCCCTGAAATTACAGATTCCTGACAGGAAACCTTGCCTGATACTTTCTGCTCTGCTTTAGGCTCTGGTGAGTCAACTGTTGCTGGCATTTGGAGCTTGAGAGGTAAGAGTATGAATCTCCAAACGTTTCATGAATGTTTGAGATCTTGTAGGAAGAATCCCAGTTCTGCTGCAGCAGGGCAGAAATGTGAAGCTCTCATTCTTTGAAGCCTGAATCTAAGACATGGCTCTGGTGGCTGTTTCTCTCCTCTCTAGAGATATTTGGGTATATAGTCATTAGAACGAATTCCTATACTGCACACAGAACCATGCTGATGATCTGCTTTGTTTCCTTTCCTAACAGACCAGTGAGCCTGACACCTTCTATTAGTTCCCAAATGTCTTGCAGTAGTCAATACCAGAATTCTTTTCCAGCCCCATAAGGCAAATGTAGGTGCTTTATTTGACAGCTCTCCTACATCAGGATATATGCTTCCTTGCACGTTTCTCCAGGGGTTGCATAGAAATGCCCTCTCACTTCTTTTCACATTAAAAGCTAATTTGATTTTTCTTGGTATTTAAATGTCAGCATTCTCTTTGCTGAGAAAAAGATGTGGGGTTTTTTTTTAATGCAGTATTTTATTGCCCATATCAGCCAGGTCTTGTTGTAGGTCTTGGGTCTCCTCAACCCTTTCAGTACTTTAGTTTTAGTTAAGTCAGAAGAATAATAACAGGTCATTCTTGCCAATTTTTTGTGTTGGGAACTGTCTACACTTCAAGCCTTTTTTTCTTAAGTTGGAGTGCAGCATCAATTAAACATCTAGTGCTTTAAGTGCTGACTTCCTTTTGCATCCTCCTCCTGCCGCCCCCCCCCCCCAAAAAAAAAAAGATCTGTAATGTCTGTCTAGTGGAGGTAAAGGCAGGGAAAGAAAGTATAATACTTTTGATGAGGAGGTTAAAATATCCAAAGGATAATTTGATAATACATCTAATGTTGAATCACTTGTGGTGTTAGTTCTCAAATTAAATTATAATTTGTAGTGAGAACAGTACAGCGCTAAGAGATGTGGTATGAATGTAGCCTAGGAACTTTCAACCATATGAGATATCCAGCTTGCTTTTTATCAAGTCATTCAGAAAGCAGCACTCTTCTCTATAAAATGGTCTATAGATTGCAGTACTCTTACCTAGCAGCCCTTCTTGGATGATGCGCCCAAAGCATTACTTAAAATAGGCATTTACTGCTATTATGCACATATATATGTGCATATAGATGATATTTTAAATAGAAGTTCTGGATGTACGTAGTCATTTAACATTATATGGTACTTTCTGCGTGAACAGGGCTTCATCCTGCTAAGCCTTAATTTGTATAAATAGCGTACTTTGCTGCAAGTTCAGTCTTTGCTTAAAGATTGAACATGGAAGAGTGTAACCTTGTGCACAGCAGCTGCTCGTGAGACCTTAGACCACCACCGTTTCTGTGACGAGCAGCACGTTCCATAAATAAGTGATGTTTGACAAGCTGCTTCAGGCTGATTAGCTGTCTCAAAACAAAAACAGCAACAGGAATTAAGAGTGAATTAATGCTTTGAAGGCTTATGAGCAAAAAGTACTATTAATGCTGCTAATTAAGGCATTGCTCCCCATGGTCTCTATATAATTATTAACTTATCCTTGAAGAAATTGAGAGACAGCAAAATTCTGATTTATCCCAGACCATGTGACATGATGGTGGCAGAAATCTGATTAGTGCCTTGGCCTGCCTCACTTCAGATGCTGTGCAAGTTCATTGTATTGCTAGAAACAGCTGTATTTTGAAATACAAGGCAGTGTGGATGTGGGAGCTGGGATTTGTTGTCATAGCTTTCAAGAGACATGAACAGAGAATTTTGGTCTATCCCTTGGCAAAAATCTATGTTTTCAGTTGGTTGTAGGTAAATTTGTAGCTGTACAGGTTTACTGCAGGTACTATTTGTTGGAAGTAAAGCAGCAGCATAGCCTGTTCCAGCAATATATATTTCAATATCTGCTGAAATACTGCTGGAATACTGGTTTTAGAAATTCAGACTCAAGAAAACAATTTGGCTTGGTTTTGACCAGTGCTGATAACTGAAGAGATATTCTTTCTGAAGCAGAGACCGCCATGTCTGATCAATAGCTTGGTATAGAATCCTGTCAGTGTGGTATTGGGGTGCTTTGGGGTTTTTTTGTTTTGTTTTTTAATTAAGCTAGCAAAATTTGAGAACTTGTACACAGTTTTAATTGTCAGCACCCTTTGTTGTTTCTTTTCTGGTATCTTTTGCACTGACCCGATAAACTATTCATGTGCATTTATACCTCACACCCACCCCCCAAAGTTCTTAGCACATTAGGATTTTGACAGGCAGAGGCCTTTGGTGCTTATAATTTCCTTTGAGGTAGCCTCTAATGGCAAAATATTTTGAAATCTTGAAATCCAAACAGAAAGCTGAAGGAAGACTTCATTCCCCCACCTGTGCTATATTTCAGATTGCTATATGCAATGGACACTGATCTCAGTTCCCAGGACAGGAAGGACCTGGACAAGTTCATCAAATTTTTTGCTTTAAAGGTAACTTTTTTTTCTCCTGAGGGCAAATGCCTCTTCTGTATTGTTTAAGAAAAGCCATACTTGCTGTGGCTAGAGTAACAAGGTTGGGGGTGGGTTTTTTGGTTTTGCTAAAGACAAAAGCAAGAAAGGCTGATGACATGTTTAGGAGATTCCTGAGAATAGCTACAAAAATATCTTCTCCCCATTTTTCTACCTTCAAATCCTCTTCCCCTAGAAGAGTCCTGCTGTAGAATCAGTTACAGGTACGTTGCACCTCCATCAGCTTTGGGCTCCTATCAACACATCTAACCATCCAGCTGTTAGGTAGTGTCTTCTGTTGGACTCCACTCTTTCTTTTCAGCCTATATATATTTTTATGTTGCATCCAAAAGCAATGATATTATGTTGATATGTAATTATAAAATTTGGCCTCACTTAGTACATGGATGCAAGTAGATACTCTGACAACAGCTATGTTACAAATATACAGATGCACTTGACTTTCGTTTATGTGTCCAGGTTCAGGATATAGTTGTAAATTTTGTTTCTGTGTAATTCCTGATCACAAAATTGACTCAGTCACTTCATGTTATTACAGAGAAAGGTCAGCTTAAAATTCTTTTCTGTCTGTAATACGTGTACCTGTTATATGTAATAATTTAAACTGATTAGACCTGAAGATTAACATAGCAAACTCTACTTCTCTGCATCCTGGTCAGCCCTTTCATTTTTTTTTCTTTTTTTTTTTTTTCACTTGGAATTTGTCTGGCTCAGGCAATGAACTGGGGGCTCTGTTGAGCTCAAAACATGAGTGTGTATCTTTTCTATTCCAGACAGTACAAGTAATTGTCCAGGCCCGACTTGGAGAGAAAATCTGTACCCGATCATCATCCTCCCCAACAGGCTCTGATTGGGTAAAGTCATATTTTTTAAAACAATTCCATCACTGTTGGATGTCTTGTGTGTGTGTGCACACACACGTGTGCGTTGAGAACATGATGTAGTTGTTACAGTCTTGTGCAGACTGTCATAACTATTCATAGAGTAACTGCTGTATACGATTATGTTTATTGGTGGTGTGTTTTGTTGTTGTTGTTCACATGCAACATGTCACTCTGAGCTCTTAAGGGCTGATTAGAGGAGAGAGAAACGATACCTCTCAGCAACTCCTGCCAGCTAAGGCGCATTTCTAAGATTTGCTGCGGGTGGGGTGATGAGTTCTTTTCTGTCATAAGTTTGCAACTCTGCAATTCAGGACTTTGTAGTAATGGGCTTTATTTTAAATTGAAGAGACTCAAGATACTCTGTAGGTGAAGATAAGACTCAAGTGAGGGAAAAGGAACATGATTTTTATGGCAGGCTTAAGAAAAGCATTTGAATTAGCAGCCAAGGAAGTGTTTGCAAATATGAAAAGCCTGAGCCCATCTGAGTATTTTCTGTTTCATAAATATTTCAGTAGATGCTGACCTAGTATGTTATATATGCATCTATGAGTCTGTCTGCAGTGTTTCAAAGGAATAAAAAAAAGTTAGATCATCTCTTTCATTCTGCAGTTCAATTTGGCAATCAAAGATATACCAGAGGTTACTCATGAAGCAAAGAAAGCCCTGGCAGGACAACTACCTGCTGTTGGACGGTCTATGTGCGTGGAGATTTCTCTCAAAACCTCAGAGGTGAGAATGGAGTCAAAACAGATGCCTTTATTTTTGCTTGAATGTTAAGCAGCCTACCAGAGCTCCTGCCCTTAGTCTAAGACAATGTGAACATTTCTTCGTTTATGAAGTTAGGTAGCATGCTAATGAAAAGAAATGTATCATTTAACAGAAGCAATTCACTGCAAATATCTGAGGCCAAACACACAAATGATAGAGCATGAAAATTTAGTTTCTTAGACCATGAAGAGCGCAGCCATTCTGAGGAAGGTATTCCCCCAGGTGACCTAATTGTGTAGCAAGACTTCCAGTGCACCTTTTGCTATTGCTGCATTGCAAGAAAGTGGGAGCGAGGGGAAGCATCTTCTCTGAGAGGTGTGGCAGCTGCTGACCATTAAGAGATGTGAAACAGTTTGTGTTCTGAAATGAGCCTTTGTTTGCCATCCTTTCTCTGATCCAGGGAGACTCCATGGAGCTGGAAATTTGGTGTCTAGAAATGAATGAAAAGTAAGTGCATTCTTCACAATTTCTTTCTGTGTGTTTGGTTTAGCTGATGAAATGGGGAAGGGTGCTCAGTCCATGGTGACGAACAAGCACATAGTGGCTGCATGGCCTGGGATGCTTCAGAGGGAAGTCCCCTTTTTGTCTAGTGCAGCAGTCAAACTGTTTGATATTGGTGTCAAGAAAATAAGCTAGTAGTTTTACTGCTTCTTCATTCTTGCATTACAAGTAGTATGCTTCCTCAGATACAAGAATTCATATACTCAATTATGACAAGTGGTTTTAATACTGAAAAGACGTTTCTGTCTAGTAGAAGGCTGCATGGCATTTTTCAGCAATTAATTCTACAACAGGTGACTAGACTGAGGTAGGACTCTTAGCTGGTTGGTCAATAACAGGTAGCCACACTGGGGCTTTATTTTATAATTTTGACCATAAACTGACATTAAACAATTGGTCCAGACTAGTTTTGATTTTAAAAAAATTAAACAAAACCAAAAAACTTAGTTGGGAACAAAAGACTATTTTTTCCTCTGTGTTCTATAGGTGTGACAAAGAAATCAAAGTTTCATACACCGTGTACAACAGGCTGTCTCTACTGCTGAAGTCTTTGCTTGCTATAACCAGGGTAACTCCAGCCTACAGACTGTCAAGGAAACAAGGCCATGAATATGTAATATTGTACAGGTAAAGCAGAACACGAAATTCCCCATTTGAAATACAAACAGCAGATACTCTAGATTTGCACAGTGCAGCTGCAAATGTGGTAAAAAGGGATGAGCGATAATAAATTCAAATTATTTGGATTTAACTACTGCTGATCAGTGACAGAAGAGAGTTTTGAGCTATAGATCACTTTATAGCCTCCATCTGAGCCACTGAAAGAAAAGCTAAGCACAGGCTGTGAAGTATTGTTGTCTGCCTACCGTGTTGGGAAGAGTACAAAAATTCTACTTGCAAGCACTGGTTAAATTTCTTATTAGCATCCAGTTGTTGAGTGTCTGGCCTGTATTTGACAAATGCCTGTCCACATTGCACATAACTGCAATGCATACTCTTGCAATATAGATTCGGACTCTCTCCTGCTATTCCATTTTAAAGGTGCATCCTCAGCTCCGCTTCCTGTAGTTCTTGCAGTTTACTTGTCCAAATACTGTGTTCAACTCTGTTTAGCCTCTGAGACGTGACTGGCTTGTGGTTCATGGTTACCACCTTCCAGTCTTTGCTTTTGGCTTTGAGAAGTCTTTCATATGTTTGTGTAAGTAGATTTAGATTTTAGATTATTCTAAATCTCAGGTTTGTTATCGTTTACACAGCTGAGATCTTAAAAAGAAATCCCAGCCATCTCTTCATTTTTTGCCTCCATTAATGGTTTGGCATATACTTAGAACAGGTCTGTTTACAGCACAGTATATCTTTTCTGTTGTGGGATGAGTATCAGCTTTTAGATTCGTATCTGTCCATGAAGTTTATATCGCTTCACGTTTTTGCTCTGAACTGTAGAATTGCCATACAGGCTTAAAAAACTCAGGGAAATTATTGATTAGACACCATTTTTTCTTCCTTTTTACATGACATGTCTTCCTCTGAAGTAGCTGGAAGGCTTTTTTTTCAGGTGGGCATTCTAGCCACTCCTTTTGTTGTTTTTTTTTCTTTAAAGAAGAAAAGTAGTTCCAGCCTTTCAACTCATTAAATAAAGAATAATGATATGTATAGCATTACGTCCCCAATGAACCTTAGACCTTTTCTTTTTCCTTTTTCTGCAGGATATATTTTGGTGAAGTGCAACTGAGTGGCTTGGGAGAAGGTATGATGAGGCAACACACACAAACTAGAGCAGAACTCTCTTCCATACCGACTAGCCATTTATTACTATTCCTAAATGCCATAAGGAAAATTAAGTCTGAGGTTTACATATGCTTTTTATCTGGATCTGCCAGTGAAGGGTTGTGGCATAAGGTGACAGGTGTAATGGTGATACTTTGACATAATCTAGGGTGATTGCCATTTTGACTCTAGTGATCCAGAACTGAAATAAGATTATTGGAAGTATGTTGATAAGGGGCAGGACTGGCAAAGGAGATCATGATCTACTTGGGAACAAGAAGCACTTCAGAGCAATACTTTAGACCAAGATAGGAAGCACCATCAGAAGTCTTGTAGATGAAGCCTACCAGCAAGACAACCTAGTGCTGCTGTTTTGTTATGGGTTCTATGTGTGTCTTTGGAGTTCAGATTGCAAGGGATAACAGAAATGCTATAGAAATAAGATCATGTAACCTTTCTGAGGTTACATGATCTTACACATACAGAAAAGTATGGAACATAAATAATCAGTGAAACTGATAATTGTTCCTTAACCTTGCAGGTTTCCAGACAGTCCGTGTTGGGACAGTGGGTACCCCAGTGGGCACCATCACTTTGTCTTGTGCCTACCGAATCAACCTTGCTTTCATGTCAACCAGGTGAGAAAACTGAAACTGTCCTACAATAATGTACTATTAAATCCCTCATATTATGAGCCCCTAGATCTTTCCCCTCTGCTTAGCCTTGCCTGCTGAGATTCTCCTTCATGGAGAATACTCGCTCTTGTGCTTAAGTCTTGCAGTAAGGGGAGTATTGGGGTAGCCCTGAGCCAGACTCAAGAACTCCAAATTGTTGATGCACACTTGGATTTGCAGGGCTGAATTGTAAAGATGCTCTGGTCCCATTAACAGACACAAGGGTTTTCTGTGAGGGCACCATGAATTGGGATAAGAGTAGAGAGAAAAAGCCAATAACACCATTGCTTGTTGCCTTGCAGGCAGTTTGAGAGGACCCCTCCTATCATGGGGATTATCATTGATCATTTTGTGGACCGTCCCTATCCCAGCTCTTCACCCATGCATCCCTGCAATTACAGGTGAGGAAATTCTGAGTTGAAGTCACAGGCCATGGTGAAGGCATCAATTATGCCCAAATACAGAGCCTTTTCCACTATTTGCTGACTGCATGGGAAGGGAGACTGGAGGATTAGTGTCAATCATGTTGACACAGTTGAGCATATGAGGAAGGGTGACATTTTTCTCCTCACATCTAGAAGACTGAGTGCAGCAAGCCCCAGTATTTTCCCCAAATTCCTTACAGAAGCATTTGGACACAAAGGATGTTTACCCTTGGCTGCCTTTGGGAATTTGAAAGTGTAACAGTTAATCCTGCTGTAGAACTGCGTGTCCAGAGGCATGCATCTCCAGATATTTCCACTGGAGAAGAATCAGAGTTTAATTTCTCTTTGTAGATGAGAGGTTTGTCTTCTCTAAAATGCATGTGAAGGCACTCAGAGTGGGACCAGCAGTACTGTTTGACAATGGCACTGTAAACACTAAAGCCAGTAGCATTAGCTAATATAACAAAATCTTTAGTTAAAAAGACAGAGGGAAGTGTTTCTATCTGGGGATAGAAGAGCAATGCCTGGGGAAAATTAAAGTTTCATTCCTAGTTTTCCCCACTTCTGCCAAGTAGATGAGAGCCCTTCATAATTCTCCTTTCAACTCCATCCAAATACTCTCAATGTCCCTGCAGTGTTTGTCCCAGTGTGTTTTACTATTTGTTTTAAGGAATATTTCCATTTAGAAAGCTTTTCTTTTCTTGCTGCTTTAGAGCTGGTGAGGACAATGGCGCAGTATACCCCTCAGTCGAAGATTCCCAAGAAGTGTGCACCACGTCTTTTTCCACCTCTCCTCCATCTCAAGTAAGATAAACCAGGCTCTCTTATCTCCTAGACAGAACAATCACTGTTAGGGTAGTGTGCATACTCCTACATCAACTACTGTGCAAACAGGCAGCCTCCTGCTGCTAATTAAAATTTAATGTGTGGGTTATTTATACTGTTACACTCTGAGTAAAACCTAGTTAGATACCATTTTCCAACAAAATGCTAGGGGACAAGAAAGACTGAATTACTGAGAAAGATTAAAAAAACCTACTCCTGTAGCTGGGCTGAGATGTGTTTGAAGAGGATAGCAGTGTAGTTACACATTCACATACCGATACTGCAAGAAGAAGAATTCAAGAGATTGATGCCAGGCAGCATAAGTAGAGGTAACAGACTGACAGTGAAAAAGAGACACTGAAATATCAGGAAAATGCTTATAGCAGAGTCACCTTTTCTGTACTGCAGAATGGAAAAGCAGGAAGAAGACAAAAGCCATATTTGTTGGACCATCTAAAACTAGTTGGGGCA